GGGGGGGGGGGAAGACCCAACATATTAGCAAGCAATGGTAAGCAAAGCAAATGGTATCTAATAAAAAGGAGAAATTAATCAAAATTCCTTCGGTCTTGAAAATTCTTAGCATGATAAAAGTATTGAAAGGCTGACTGCTGTTGCCAGTCTATATGTATAACTGTGCACAAAAATAAAACAGCTTTGAAAGTGTGGAAGTTATGAAGTATTTAATCAGAACAGTGCTGCAACATTTTCCATTTTTTCTGTTTTAACTAGATAATGAAGCCATTTTAGGGAGTTTGGTCATTAAATTTCATGTGGGAACAACCTACAGTATCACTGCAAAATTTCAGTTGTAAAGGAAACTGAAGCTAAAAGCCTCTAGTACTTAAACAGTAATGGGCTCTCTCATATTATAGATGCTTACATTTTATATACATATAAAAATGTATGTAATGTCCCTCTTAAAGATAAGACTGTACACACACACGTAATGTCTTTAAGAGAGACATTACATACTCAACAATTTGTGTGCAGTTCCAACAAGGTTTTTGGGTGATTAGACTAGCAATACTGATAGTGCAATGCTTCTTTAACAAATCTCAATCATAAGTTTATCAGCCCTTTCTTTTGATATTTGAAGTCTCCTTTACACCTAAAATATTTGTAGTAAACGCATAACCTTTACTGGGCAAAGGGCAGGCTCTACATCAAGTTTTGCCTAATAAGGACTGCAAGACTTTGTACTATCGATAGAGCTTTTTTTTTGTTTTTTGTTTTTTTTTTAAATAAAGGAAAGACTATACTTTTTGGATATGGTTATAAGGTTGGAAACTGTTGGGTATTGCTCTACATGTAATAGAGTTGTACAGTTCCATAAAGCTCTTTCACGGAAATATGTAAGCAAAACATCAGGTCGCCAAACCCAAAATGGGTGACTGTTCAAGTATTTGAATCCTCTGGAAGAATGGTCTTTGACTCCATGCTGCTTCTCTGAGACAGTACAATAAGACAGAGAAGAAAGCCTGAACAAGCCATGTAATATAGTCCCAAAGAAAGGACTAGAGAGAATCTTTAATCTGAAAGAAAGTTAAAAGCAGTAGTTTCACGTTTGTCAGTTCCTTCTTTGTTGAAGGAAATCTCTCAACCTTCCTTGATCAGAAGTTGGATATGAACTGCTCAAGGATATTTTAGCAGGGGGTTGAGCCAGATGACCTTTGAGGTCTCTTCAAACCCCTTTGTTTTTTTGTTTTTTTAAAAGCAAGTAGGACCTTACACATGCTTGTGAACAAACAGAATTATGTTGAAGATCTGACTATCAATTTCTTTTAACAATCGAGGAAGCCCCACATTTTTACTAGCTGCTCAGATCAAGTGGTTACACTGTTGTCAGTATGAGATCCAGCTTCCAAGGAGAACAACCGTCTGCCTG